TTTTTCAGGTGTTTTTTGTATAAGTTTATGTAAAAATATCTTTGCCTATTGGCAGTTTTTCAAAAGACAAAACTAATTAAAAATAAGGTTAAAAAATGTGAACTTTAGCTCTTCTGACCCATCAGTTTGTCACCTTTTCTCTGTGTGAAAACAGTGTAAATGTGTACAAAGGAGGGATACTTGAGATGTTTTAGAATAATAGTTCAAATAATGTTTTTGTGTCAGTTTCACATTATTCAATATTATTTTTATAATAAAAAGAAAGATGACTGCAGACATGTGAAAACTTGTTAATAAAGTACATAAACTTTATAAAACAGGCAGCACAAAAGTAACTAGTCTATCTGAAGGCTACATGCTGAATGAAACAAATTACAATAAAGGTTTTCTCACTATAGTACAATAACACAATATTACACACAAATACACGATGGAACTGAGTTGGTTCTATATTTATTTTAGATTTTAAAAATGTTGCTGCAGCCATGTAGGTAACAGTGAACATAGGCTTATTGACATAGTTTATATTTCTGTTTACTAATACTTTTGTTATCGTATTGTTGCATGTTTATTTTATTTGATCTTATTACTTGCTTGCACTGAGATTTATATAAAATATTTTGTTATATGCACTGTTTCTTTACTGTGCGTGTGACAATAAAGCTTTGAATCTTGAATCTAAATTTCTGGTAATGTTGACATTTTTGGGGTTTGGGGTCATCAAACCATAACAGTTACAGGAGTTACATTAAAGTCCCRCTGGGCTCCATGAAGACCACCRTGTTGCTGAGTGGAGACCTTAGACTTCCTTATTTCAAATGTAATGGTCTTATTTACAAAACACTGGAGGTATTCATATCTGCTATATGGCAGTTCAGTGGGATTTAAAGGAATAACTGCCAAATGTCAGAGGTCTGTAAAGGTTTGCTAAAGGGCGATTCCACTTTTTTAATGTGTTTTTACAATTTACTCAGCTCTGGCTCATAAACTACAACCTTTAGACAACTTAACCCTGAACCAAACTKCTGTAGGCTGAGAGAAGAATAAAAAACTCAGTGGTTTATTGATCCTTTCTTCTGTTTGCAAAACCTTATTATTCAGTCATTTTAGTGTTTTTTGTCACCTGGACCACACTGGAACAACTCCAGCTCATGTATTAAAACTAAAACTAATTAATTTTATAAGGTTTTTACTGTCTAAGTTTTTAGTTTATGAACTAAAGCCGATCAAAGACAGCAGTCATGAAAATGAGTGAAAAAACACTTTAATAAAATGTCAAACTCACTTCAGTCCCTTTAATTTAAAAAATAAAGACTTTGTTTAATTATTATTTAATCAGTAATCTGACATCAGGACTCATTATATACAGAAAAATACTGACTGGTTTACAACTCAATGAGAAAAATAAAATGTCATCTTTAACAAACTCCCAATTAAAAATTAATTAGTCAGCTTTAATTATGTTCTTTTTAAAATAACTAATAAGTTATGTCCTGATGCAAACACAGACAGGATTCCATGCAACCTTCAGGTGAAAATGAAGACCCCAAACCCAGACCCAAACCCGTGGTTATTCCGTATGTTGCGGGTGTTTCGGAGAAACTGAGACGTTTATTTTTTAAACA